ACCCTTCAAAAGCCTCATGGCTAGGAGCCTTTCACAAAGGCTCCGGGGGGGGTGGCGAACAATTGCCCCCCTCCTAACAGCTAGCGCGCAGATCGCACCCCCGGGAGGCCCGGGAGGTGTGTCTGCCAGCGTGTCGCCATTAACCGGAAGTCTCCCCCTGGAGGAGATTCTTAATGCCTTACAGGTGACCAGCTCTTTATAAGCCTGTAGTCGTCGTAAAGCAAGTCCGGTTCTTTATTATAGTCTGTGTGTGTTTTGATGTGCTTGGGGGTCAGATGACTAACTTCAAACCTAACTATGCTTGGCAAAGTCCTGTATCACTTGGGTCCACTTTGCTTTCCAAACACTAATCAATGGCTAGGATAATCTGACCATCTCATAGTTAACTCAGCTTTTAAGTTGGCATCACCAGTCAAATGACAACTCTGTGAATAGTACACAGCTCCTGCAGTTGTAAAGCTGCTTTCCTGAGAGTAAGCCCCACTGACTAAAACGGGAGTTACTTCTGAGTACAGCTGCTCTGGGTTGCTCCCAGAGTCTCACTGGTTCCAGGACCTAAATGACTGAAAATCGCCAAGAAAGGGGTGTTTTAAGTCAGTGTGATTGATCGTTTATATCTATAAATCAGTTGAAATCAATGATTTAAGAGCAGGATCCAAATTTCTGTTTTGTGTATTTCTCGTATAAGCATGCATGCAAACTAGTTGATACAGCCGTTTAAAAAAATCTCTCTTTGAATCTAGGTAGAGTGTTTGTTCTGTGCAGAAGCATAATTCAACACCTCTAGCCATGCCGGCCACACGGTATTTGCATATATCAGAACTGGTTTGCCAGGGTATGGCACATGATACTGACTGGCAAAATCTCCCTAGAGGCTAGAGGACAAGTGTGGGCTTCTGGAGGTGGTAGAGAGTGCCATAAAGTTGCCGTCTATTTATTGACATTCCGTAGGGTTTTCAAAGCAAGAGATACTCAGAAGTGATTTACCTTTGCCTGCCTCTGCCTAGTGACCCTGGACTTCCTTGGGGATCTCCCATCCAGGGTTGACCCTGCTTAGTTTTCAAGATCTGACAAGATCAGGCTAGCTTTTTTCCCCTGTTATTTTATTGAGAATAGTCTGAACATCATAAAAATATCACATACTGGTAAAGGTTAATATGTAAAAATTAGAACAATTCAAATATTAGTAACTAAAGCAAATGAAATAGGAATATATGAGTAAAGAAAAAAGCATAAAAATGATGTCAAATATTAAAATGAAACATTAGCAATGTTAAGCATTAAATTACCTAAATATCACTAAAATAGTATTATTTGATATTAGTAATAGAGCAGTTCAGACATCACTATGATACTGTAATCAGAACTAATAAGCATGTATCTTTCTCGTGTATTTTTCTTTATTCCATTGCTTAACAAGTCATAGAAGTTTTGTTTATTATTGTTTTGTGTTTGTGTATTGATCTTTTTAAAAAAATTCTGCTTTGAAGAACAATTAGGAAATCAAATATTTCTCTTTGGCACTCTCACCTTCTCTCTAGACTTGTCCTCAACAGGAGCCCTTACTTGAAGATCTGAGCACCCAGAACATTATCGAAACGAGGGCTAGTAGTTAACAGGGCCGAACAGTCTTGCTGCCTGAGAGGGAAAAATCTGTGTTTTTTGGCTGACAGCATGGCTGTCTTCATAATTTGCACGTTAACAAATACTTGGGAGTTGTATCCAGTCAACCGCAAGCAGAATGAAATTTTCCTGCTGCCGCCTTCTATGCCCCTCAAATGCTGCCCTGGGAGTTCAGGGGACCCCTCCCTCCTCTAGGAACAGCCCTGAGTGTAGCACAAGAGTCTGCAGTGAGAAGGAGGAATTGGTGAAAATCTCACGCACACGTCGTTAGCACAAGTGCCTTTCCACTGATAAACTGACCCTTTTCTTTTCTACTGAGACTGTTCTAAGCAGGGTTTTGCTCAGTGGATGATAACAGTGTTCCGCTTCCCTTTTGTAAGTGGGCATTAATATTCATATGACATCTAGCCTGACCTGGATAGCCCAGGCTAGCCTGATCTCATTAGATCTCAGAAGCTAAACAGGGTTGGCTCTGGCTAGTACTTGGATGGGAGACCTCCAAGGAATACCAGGGTTGGGACACAGAGGCAGGCAATGGCAAAACCCCCTCTGAATGTCTCTTGCCTTGAGAACTCCATGCAGGGTCACTATAAGTCAGCTGTGACTTGACCGCACTTTCCTCCACCACCACGACATCTAGACACTGCTCTGGCAATATTTAAGGGACTCGTAAAGGTAAAGGTTCCCTTGCTCGAAAGCCAGTCGAATCCGACTCTAGGGTTGCGGTGCTCATCTCCGTTTCCAAGCCAAAGAGCCAGCGCTGTCCGAAGACGTTTCCGTGGTCATGTGGCCGGCATGACTAAACACCAAGGCGCACGGAACACTGTTCCCTTCCCACCGGAGTGGTACCTATTTATCTACTTGGAATTTCTTGCTTTCGGACTGCTAGGCTGGCAGGAGCTGGAACTAGAGACGGGAGCTCACTCCGTCATGCAGCAACCCGTGTCTCGAACTGCTGAACTACTGACCTTCCACAGCCTGCAGTTCAGCGTCTTAACCACTTGAGCCACCGCAGCTCCTAAGGGACTCTTAAACATAACTTATTTTTTTAAAATCCCAATTTACATTTAAAAAATCTAGATGCTGTCTTTGAAAAATTCCAGGGGCTGGATCCTGTGGCTTTATTTTGCTGACAGGGATACTCTCCTTCAAACCAAAAAGGGTTGTGCCACCACGAGCGGAATAGGCTCTAGGATTCATGTCTTTTTTAAGTATCCATTTTGATCCACACTTCCTTTATTTACGTGAAAGTGAGTTGTTGTTGTTGTTGTTACATAATTTAAATTTGGTGGTGCCATTGGGTTGAACTCAAATGGCCTGTGGAGCCAGATTCAGCCCCAAGGCTACTTGTAAATGAGACCGGTATTCCAAAATGAGTCCCTTCTTTCTTAGACAGCTGTTCAGTAGAACTTGAGCTACCTTTTTCTTTGGGCTTCAGCGTGCCAGTGGATCAGTAGCCAAGGAGGAGAGCTGGCACATGAGTCATATTGGGTGGGGTTTCTTTTTGCATTCACTTATCTGAGTTATGTTTATCCCGTGGAGTCTGCTGACTGCTCAAAATGCCTTATGATGTGTGAAAGCTGTTTTTTAAAATAAGCTCTAAACAATAAAGTTACTAGCACCAATAAACAACAGTCACTGCCTGCCCTGACCTGGATAGCCCAGGCAAGCCTGATCTCATCAGATCTTGGAAGCTAAGCAGGGTCGACTCTGGCAAGCACTTGGATGGGAGACCTCCTTGGAATATCACTTTATTCAGCCCCCTCTCTGAATATCCTCCAGGCCCCCAGTAGGGGTCAGTCACCAGAGGTCGCCATGACTTCTAGATGCGCGCGCACACACATGTGCACATATGAAAAATATGTATGATGACAACTTTGTTGGTGATTAAGTGGCTGGCTTGTAATGTTGGATTCTCAGAACTTTTGTATACTGTTTTGCAGGTATTGTACATGTTATAAGTTATACTTGATCTTAATAAATATTTAAAAAGGGGGGGAAAAACAGTTACTGGTTATTATAACAGCAGCATGAATCCATTGTTCAGCTGGCGGTTCAGTCGGGGTTTTGAGGCAAGAGACAAACAGAGGTGGTTTGCCATTGCTTGCATCTGTGTAGCTACCCTGGGTTTCCTTGGTGGTCTCCTGTCCAAAGAGTAACCACCCTGCTTAGCTTCCAAGATCTGATGAGACTGGGCTAGACCACCATGTAGTCACTGCACGTGTTTCCTCTTATTTCAAAGGTTTGGAGGGGGGGGTGTCTTCCTCCATGGTATCCCTTAACTCTTGACTTCCCCAAGCTCGGGCACTGGAGCTCTTTCTAGAATCCTTGCTGAAGAAAGCTTGCCACGTGACACAGTCCAGAAACGCCAAGACGATGACAACCTCGCATCTGTGAGTATGTGCCTCACAGCCCTGACTTCTGCTAAGGCAACAGTAGGCAAAAGCCCAGGAAGGCACATCTCCATGGACTGAGTTGGAACTTTATCCTGGAGAGGACTGCCAAAACGGCAAGTTCGAGTCTAGAGATGGCAAGGGGTGGGAGGGAGCTTTCCGGGGGGTGGGGGGGGGGGGGGGGGGATGTGGCCAACATGAACTTTTCGCCTGGCACTCAAGCTGCTTAAAAATGTATCGAGAGCACTGGTGCACCAGAACTGCAGGGATGGCTGGTGTGCTTCTGAGAAAGCATTTCGCAGCTGCGGGCCCTGAAGAGCTTCCTAGTGCTCCAGTCTGGATGCCGACTCTTCTTGTTTCTGAAAATGGGGAAATCGGGCATCCACCTCAGAGCTCTGGAAAGCGGGCAAAGACGCAGAAGTGGCTGTGAGGCCCAACGTTTTCATCCTTCCCGACTCTAATCCCCTCTGTTTTTGAGGAACTCAGTACATGTTGAAATCAAGGGGTGGAGTCAAAGGGGGGGTGGAGTATGTGCTTTTCACAAGGAGTGTTCAGTCTCTGGCATCTCCAGTTCTGCACTAATGGGCAGTGGGGTCCGGAAAGGTGTGTTTGAGAGCAGCCGCGGGTCATAGACCTGGGCTAGGTAATGCTGATAGTCTTGGATACATGGCATCTTCAAATGTTCATAAGACTTCTTCCGAACCCATGAAGGCTAGTACCATTTCTTTCACTTTAGACCAGAGTGCAAGCGTTCTCACTGTCTCCGGCTGTGGTCTGCTTTTGCAGGAAGCAGTGCATAGAGCTGGAGCAGCAGTTTGACTTTCTGAAGGACCTGGTTGCTTCCGTGCCAGATATGCAAGGAGACGCAGAGGATAACCATGTGGAGGGGGAGAGAGTCTCCAGGAGGTAGGGAGGCCTGGCAGAAGCTGGAGGGGAGGGGAGGCGCTTTTTTCTCCTCAGGAACCTGAGCTGTTGCCTCAGGCTTGGGATAGGGCCTTTCCACATAATAGTACACATACTCAGCTCTCATTTTCCTCATTCGTGTGTTCCTGTTGCTTGGGGGGGGGGGTCTGTTCGGCTTGTGTTTTGCTCCCTCTAGAGGTCAATTCAATATTATATTGCTCTATGTCCAGCCTATCGCTCTGCAGATTTAAATAGTAGGTTTTTAAGCCAGACATAAAACAATGTCAATATAGTATCGGCCACTAGAGGGGGCAAAAGACACGTGGAACACCCAAAGCAACAGGAACACACAACCAAGGAAAATGAGAATGTGGAAAAGCCCTTAGTGTTGATATAGTATTATTTTGGTTCATGTGCACTATTACAGGAAGTCTTCCCACCCACTCTTTAATATAGGTCAGTAGGGCCTTGCAGACGGGGGGCTGAGGGAGTTTTGGCTTTCCCTCAGAGCACCTAAGGCCCAGTGAGCTTGTTTGGGATACAAATGACTTTTGAATTCTTTCACAAAATCATGTTCTGAAGGGTCCATTTGGGAGTCAAGTACTAATTTCATTTCTCATACATATAGGTCATTTTTAGATGTTCCCCATTTTTGCTTCCAATCTTTTGGGTGTTTTTTTGTGGGGAGGGTATTTGGGGGGGGTGTTGCTGATTCTTCATTGTCTTATTTTACCATGACCTTTTCAACCCAATTCTATGAGGCCAGATGGAATAGAAATGTGTTACCAGCTTAGTGCCTGTGCTGCGTGAGCAGAGCAGTGCCGCAGTCATGGCAACTTTCCTATCTCCCTCTTCCCACGCTGCTTCTCTTGAAGTTGTGCCCCGTGGATCACTAAGCCCGCTTGCGGGGATGGCGGGGTATAAGTTTGAATAAATAAATAAATAAATAAATAACACACACACACACACGGAATAGCAGGCAGGTTGAAGTGGGGCACTGCAGTGGGAACAAAATTGCCCTCCCTCCCTCCAGCAGGAGTGCCTTCCACGAGCAGAACAGAGGTATAGGGCCCAAAGCTTTGCCTTTTGTAACGTATCTAACGGCTACCCTACAGGGATGCACTGCCCCTCCCAGTGAGGCATGCCAGCTCTCATGCCACGTGCGGGAGATCAAATCTCGGCTCTGCCACAAAGCTCACTTTGTAGCCTTTGGGCTGTTCATTCTCTCTCAGCCCTATCTACCTCACATGGTAATTGTGAGGTTAAAATGGGGTAAAAGAATGACACACACTGCTTTGAACTCCTTGGAAGACAGGTGAAAGGTGGGATAAAACTCTACTTGCCTAGATCCTCACTGAGTAACTTTTGAGCTGGTCTCTCTCTTTCTCTGTCTAACCTACCTCACAGGGTTGTTGTGAGGATAAAATGGGGAAGGGAGTACCACTTAAGCTGCTCTAAGCTCGTTGGAGGAAGAGCAGTGATAAAAATGTAGTGGGCAGAAGCATGCCTCGAAGTTGGAGCTTCCATCTGTGTTGGGGGAAGGGGTGCTTTTAACTTAGCCACTGTTTTGTGTGTCAGAGGGAATGGGCAGCCGTGCCCCGTCCGGGGAGGGAGAAGTGCATCTCTCTTGCATCTGCATCCCCTTTCTCCTCTTTGGTACAGGGGTCGGAAACCTGGCAGTGGGCGGAAGAACGGCGGCACGGCAGGCAAGGGAAGGGATGCAAAGCAGTCCGGCACGGACTCGGAGCAAGAGGTGAGTGCCCTGCAGGGCCAGGATGTGCCCTCCGTAATTTGGAGATCGACCACTTATTGAGGTCAGGGAAGCTTTTTCATGAGTCCAGCTGGTTGTTGGCAGCCCTGGGTTGTGGGTACACTTCGCTGTGTATCCTCTTATGGCTTGGCTCGCTTGCCCGAGCTGTCTATTGTTCTGGCCTCTGTAATGGCTCCTGCTGTTCCCTTCCTGGTTATTTGTACAAAATATCCCACTTTTCCATTGGAAGAGATCTCCACATTTATTTTAATCAGCAGTTTAAAAAAATGGAGGAACAAAAGCCCTCTGAAACGTAACAAGGTAACAGCAACCAGCTTCAGCCTAACCTGTTTCAGAGGGTTATTGTGAGAGTAAATGGGGGGAGGGGACAGAGGGCCATGTTTTCCAGTTATTTAAAACATTTATTAGCCGCCTTTCTCCCTTGCAGAACTCAAGGTGGCCCCTCAATATGTTCATTACCTTGAGCTTCATGAAGGAAGGGTGGGGTTAAAATGTGTGAGCTGGAAGAGAGGAGGACAGGCTTAATAGACACTAGTCTCAAAAGGCAAGAGCCAGTTTGGTGTAGTGGTTAAGAGCAGGGGATTCCGCACTCCTCCACATGCAGCTGCTGGTGTGACCTTGGGTCAGTCACGAGTTCTTTCAGAGCTGTTCTCTCAGGAGCAGTCCTCGAGAGAGCTCTCTCAGCCTCATCTACCTCACAGGGTGTCTTTTGTGGGGAGGGGAAGGTGATTGTAAACTGCTCTGAGACTCCTTTGGGCAGTGAAGGGTGGGGTATAAATCCAATCTCCTCCTCTTCTCCCTTTTTACTGCTCACAGAAATAACAGATGGACTTTTCACTTGCTAGGGTGTTCCCGGGCTGTGGTGCCACGGCCAGAATGTTCTTGTATCCCGGTCTATCCAATTGCACCTTAGAGGCTGAAAGGGGAGAGGGCGAGGTCTCAGATGTTGGTTTGAAGGCCCAGGGCAGGAAATACGGGAGAAGACAGCCCTTAAGTTGGTGCTTGTGGCAGTTGCAGATCAAGCTTGGGTTGGGAAGAGGCTGTGGCTCTGTGGTACAGCCCCTGCTTTTTGCATGCACAAGTTCCCAGGTTCAATCCCTGGCAGCCCCGTTTTAAAGGATCAAGTAGCAGGATCCTATGAAAGACCTCCACCTGACACCATGGTGAGCTGCCGGTAGTCGGAGTAGACAGTATCGACCTTGATAGACCAACACTTTGACTCAGTGTAAGGCAGCATCGTGGGTTGAGTTGATTGTAGTGAGCAGCTGCTCCTGGTCTGAGCAATCCAGGCCAGATGGCTCTGCGTCGCCTTCGGACTCCTGGTCCCGCTACCCGCCTCTGCTTCTCCGGGGGATGTGTTGCAGCAGAAAGGATGTGGGTGTCAGAAACAGGTCCTGTTTTTTCGGAAATGCTCTTTAATTTTTTTGCCATGCATGTTATCTGTCTTCTACCTCAACATCCTTTTATGGAAAACCCTAAGCAATGCTTGCATGTTCTGTTCATGCTGGTTGAAGGTGATGAAGCAGCCACCTTAATTTAGTGGGGGGAGTGCAGAATTATGACAGTTTCCCCCCCCCAAAAAAAAACCTGAACTCTGTAGAGAGTCTGTTCTTACCTCTCCTGAGTATCTAAAGGACAACCTCTCGAAGGCTGTCCAGGAGGGACCCACACTTGACTGATGGTCCTCTTGAGTCCCAGCCGGGCTTTCTTCGCCTTTTCTGCTCTGCTTGAAACAGCCTTTGCCTTCTCCCCCTCCAGTGCCATGACTTTCCTCCAAAAGTCATTTATTTTCAAAATAATTATTAAAATCTTTATTAAGCTCACCTTTCTGCAGACCCCCTTCATTTTACCCTTCTTTCCATGCCCCTTTTCATTTATCAGTCAATTTTGTTTTCCTGTTCGTTTTATTTTAATTTTAAAAATATATACTTATGCCCCTTAGTGGCTAACGAATCTGGGGAAAGTGATGCTCTGTATTCCTGGTGCTTGGGGGGGGGGGGGCCAACAGTGGGAGGGCTTCTAGTGTCCTGGCCCCACTGGTGGACCTCCTGATGGCACCTGGTATTTTTGGCCACAGTGTGACACAGAGTGTTGGACCAGATGGGCCATTGGCCTGATCCAACATTGGCTTCTCTTACGTTCTTATTCCAGAGGGTAGCCTTGTTGGTCTGTGGTAGAAACAGCTGGGTTCGAGTCCAGTAGCACCTCATGGAGCAACAAGAGTTTTTTGGTGGGGGAGGCGCTTTCGAGAGTCAAAAGGGAGCCTTGAGTCAAAAGCCCCTGCCCCCCCCCAAAAAAAAACTTGCTGCTCCTAAGGTGCTCTGGGAGTCGGACCTAGCAAGTCCAGATTTTACATTATATGAAGAACAACCTACCACCTGGCTCACCCGGCCCCGCCATGCCTTCATTCCACACACCACTAAAAGCCCTGGAGAACAAAAGTCACCTTCTCACCTGACGGGGAGAAACAGCCAGCAGATGGCAACCTGAGGACAGCATTTGGCACACAGGGACCATATGGGGAGAGACGGTCCTTTAGATAGACCGCTAGCATTTTGGACAGTCAACAAAACTAAGAAGAAACACTGTGTATAATTACTTGGGTCAAAACAATCATGTATTATAATTTGTATATGTGCTATTCACTTACGGTCCAATAAACATTATTTGAGATATACAATTATAACGCATGATTGTTTTGACCCAATTCCAATAGAAATTCCACCAAACATTAATATGAGTAATTCCAACAATAACAGTCAATGCAGATCAAAAGGACATCACATGCCATTGTAATCATTTGATGGCAGGTTACTGCTGCTAGAAAAAAAGTGTTGCGCAATCGGTTCCTTTTAGAATTTCTATGGTAGAATTGCAGCTGTGAAGATCTTGACTTGAAACATGCTTAAAGTCCAGGATGCATGTAGTCACATGGTTACCACCTATGTCACTTGATCACCATTAACTGTTTGTTGGGAGACTGTGAAGCAGTGTTCCCTCTAAGCTGAGTTAGTGTGAGCTAGCTCACAGCTTTTTAGCCTCCGGCTCACACATTTCTGTCTTTGCACAGGAAGGATGGGGTTCCAGAGCAAACAAATTCATGCAGCAGCCAAATCGCTCGCTCACCACTTTAATGCCAGTAGCTCACAAAGTAGAATTTTTGCTCACAAGACTCCACAGCTTAGAGGGAGCACTGACTGTGAAGTCCTCTTGAACTGACTATTACTGAGAGACTGTGATGTCCTTTTGATCTGCACTGACTGTTGTTATTGGAATGGTTCGTATCAATGTTCAGTGGCATTTCTATGGGAATTTAACATTACAAGTTATAGTTTACTCTCCAATAATGTTTACAGGAGCATAAGTGAATAGTACAATGATTGTTTTGACCCAAATAATTATACACGGTGTTTCTTCTTAGTTTTGTTGACTTTCATACACTGTGTTTTCCCTTTGTTTCTTGTGATTTAACATTTTGGACCAGGGGTGTGTGTTGTGTCGTTCTGTGTTCTGCGCAGGGCATTTGCAGTGTGCTGACTCTCCATGCCAGGGCAGGGCAGCTTCTTTGCTGCCAGGCACAGCCCATGCCCCCTCCCCCCACTGGGCTTAATTAACCCACTATTTTAGCGGCTGGCCTCAGACCACAAAAATCAGGGTGGGCAAGAGGCTGGCGAGATCCAGCGTGAGGTTGGCCACCTGGGCTAGGTTGGGTACAATGACGCCACGGCTTCGTAAGACAGAAGCAGGCTGTCAGAGAGAGTGCCGGATCACACAGTGGCATCCTTTCCTCTTTCTGATTCCCGCAGGATGACTCAGAAGACAGTGAGAGTAACGGGGAGGAGGAAGTGTCCCAGACCGCTCCCTCTGCGCGACCCGCCACGCATCTTCCCACGTAAGAATTAGAGTCTCTAATGGCCCTTCTGACCTGTCCTGCCTGGCAGGGTATTCAGAACCTTTGAGGCAGGCGAGGGCAGGAGCCCTGTCTCTTTACCCCACCGAAGGCCCTCTCCTGACAGTTGATTTCCAAAATTACAGGCAAACAGGAGAATGAAGAACAGAACCTCCCAAAAACCCCTGTGGAGGCCTCCCCCCTACAGACTTGAGCTGGCAGAGACTTCATGCCCACACCTGTGCCAGTTTCCCCAGTGGAACTGGGTGTGTGGGCCCCCAGCAGTGGAGAGGGGAATCTCCACCTTTTGGCTTGGATTCAGAGCCTGCCCTTTCTAGGCCTCTTGTTTCCCCTCCCACTTACTCTTCTGTCATGGGACAAGCAGAGAATGCCAGGGGTGGGCTGTAGCTCAGTGGCAGAGTCCCAGCTTTTTCACGCAGACGGGTCCCGGGGCTCGATCAGCCCCTCTAGGGTAGAAAGTAGTTGGACAGGTGAACCAAAGGCCTATGTCTGTGTAAAAGCAGTCGATGCAACAGGGCAGTCAAGTGCCTGGCATGAGTTGCTCTTGCTCTTGTTTTTATATGGATACGGTCATGTTGGCTTGCCCTCCCAGGGACCCCCTGCCAGTTCTGGGCCTGCACTGTAGAGTGTGCACATCTTAACCCTCTTGCTTTTCTCCAGGGCTCCAGCTCCGTATTTACATTTCACCTCCCCGCCGCCGGTTCCCGCAATACCTCTGCCCGTCTCTGCACCAACAGGCGCTATGCCAGTTCCGCCTCCACCTGTGCCGCCTGCCCCAGCCCAGGAAGACGAGGAGGAGGAGGATTACGACTCCTAGCCCCATTTCTGTTTTCACTGCTGCCACTTTGGAGGGGAGGGGAGGGAGGGGGTGGGTGGGTAAGAGCAGGGGTTTGGATGGGGCTGTTCTTAAATTTATTAAAAAACATAAAAAATGGTGTCAGGTGCTACGTGAGGTTTTTCCCCCCCTTGTTCTACATCCAGGCCCCAGTCTTGCAAGCAGAAGTGCCAATTTATCCCTTAGTATCTCCCCACCAACATGTTGCTCACTCCATCCTGGGCCATTCCCAGTCCAGTTGTAAAATAAAAGCCAGAGAGTTTAGAAAGCAAATCAACTTTTAAAAATCAGGATTCTTAAAAGAACAGTTAAGGGGAGGGGGAGCGATATTCCTCCCCCTGCAGTGGATACAAAGAACAAACTTGGTGCAAAATGCCCATATTAATCTGCCCCATTAAAAAAACGAGAAGCGGAGGCGCAGTTGTCGTCCCCACCAGGGGAACAGGAGTCCTAATCGCAGAAGAGGGAGGGACAGTACAGGTTTATGGCTAGCGGGGGAGGGGAGAAGGTAAAGTGGACAGTTACTGCTGGGGTTCCCCAACCTTTGGGGTGGGGCAGGGACTGGGTTCTGCTTTCTAGCAAGCTGGGTATGGGGGCAGCAACTGATCCCAACCCATGCTGCCTTTTATCCTCTTGCCTTCTCTTCCCCTTGTAAGAAACAGGCGGTCGGGGAGGCCTGTTTAGGAGGAGGGGCGCAAGAAAGGTATAGCAGCGATGTTGACAAAAGGCTTTTACGGGGGATAGAAAAAAACATGGTTACTCCCTTTTCTTCCCCAGGAAGCTCTTTTCTTCCATAGGAGGCTCCTATGTCTTCATCTGATGCAGCTCTTCTAAACAGATGTGGTTTGGAATGCTCTCCTGTTGGGTCTGTGCCTGTCATGCAACCGTTATAGATGTGCGGGTCCAGCCAAGGGAATGGGTAGTAACCCTGGAAAGCTATTTTCAGCAGAAGAGGGGTGGGTGGGTTTGGGGGGTGTTGGCTGCCTTCTCAAAATGGGGCACCTCCAAATTTCTGGCCTTGCACCTTGCTTTTTTTGGTCCTGTTTATGATAGCTCCACTTAGGGAAATAAGAGGCTTAGGTAGTTCCTTTCTGTTTTCTAAAAGGTGCCTGGTATAAATCTGCTGGCATGGAAGGCTAAAACCCAATCCTGTGCCTATGGCTGGGAAAACCCACAAACACACACACACTTTTAGGTGAGCAAGAGCAGGGCTCCCCTCCCCATGGGGGAGTGCAACAGTCACTTCCTCCCCCTAACATAAGGGGCTTGTTCTGTACCTGATCCACCCACCCCTGTTCTTAGCGAAGGCAGCCAATCCCTAAACCTGCAAGCAAGGTTTATAATTACTTGCTTGCGTGGTGGGGGTCGGATGAGCCAACCCTGCTGTTCTGCAGAGCTTGAGAGAACTGAAAGCGTGGAAGGACACAAGTTGATATCTTGAAGGAGGACAAAGCCTGGGTTTCAGCCCCGCCTCCCAGATCCCTGAGCTGTTAGCTGTGCTTAAGAATTTACTCTCAGCCATGAGGTCTAGAAACTTGCTCCCCTCTCGCTCAGTGGAAGGAAGGAGGCTAGGTGCAGATGGATTCCCTGAGCCTGGGTTTACATGGAGCTTCCTGGAAGATGGACTTTGACCCACTCGAGGCCAGCGTGGAGCCCTTAAGCCCCTCTGATGGGGGGGCGGGGCGGTCTTTTCCCTGTGATGGGATTGCTAAGACGTGCCCATAAGAGTGAGCAGCTTGGTAGGGGGAGAAACAAAAGAGGACTGGAGGGGATAAAATAACTGCATATGCTTAGAAAGCTGGAAGCTTGTTTTAGGAGTTCTTCTGTTGATCCCAAGTCCCAGTGCCCCAGTTCACAGACACACCCTGCGAGAGTCTGCAATGCATCGGCTCAACAGAAGAAGAGGCGGGGGGGGGGGGGGGGGGAATGGCAGTGCACGGAGACAAGGGGGGAGTTCCTATCGCACCGTCACCCCCAGCTTCTCCAAGATGCGGGTCCCTTTCTCCAGGTACTCATCCCGTCGCAGCCAGAAGTTGTCTTTGTCTTTCATTATGTCGGCAAGCACCGCCCCACCTAGGAACACCATGTGCTTCCTCCGGGGTGGGTCTTCAATGCGAATCTTGAATTTCTGGGATAACAAAGGGGGGCAGGGAGAGAAAGGCAGGTTTGGGAAAGGCACCATCAGGGATCTCCCCACCACCCCCTCACTTGCAAGGGTGAATGAAATCAAGTTGCATTTAAACCCCTGAGGACCACCGGAGCCCTGCATGGACCAGGGAGAGAGAGGTTCCACCCTATGCTTGGCTATCCTTGGGCAAGCTGCTTTCTCTCTTAGCCTGGACCTACCTCGCAGGATTGTTGTGAAGATAAAAGAGAGGAGGGAATCTTTAGAAAACTGGCCACCAGCATATTATTTTTTAAAAACCAAACTAACAGAGAAGCGCCAGTAAAATTATTCAGCAGATGCCGCACAAGGAGGGAACGGGAAGGCAAAATTCAAGCCACTCAAAACCTCTCCAGACCACTTAAACAACCGTGCCTATTCCCGTCCACTAATTTAATACAGGGCACAGTCCAGTGGGTAACTCTGTGCGAGCCCCACAGATCTGAATGCCCCTGCTGTTCCTGAGCTCCCATTTATTTTAATGGTGCTGGAGACCTTCCCAGTGGACCGAGTCCCAGCTGTGCCTGCCCGCTCTGCTACCCCTAAACGATGACTGTTTGCTGCCTGCTTCCCCTACCTTCCTGGTGTGCTCAGACTAGCCAAAAAGGTCGCCAGCCCCACCCGTGACTCACCGACAGCTTTTCCACGTCACCCTTCAGCACCCGCTCCAGATACAGCTGCTTGATCTCACGCTCCAGCCGAGACGGCAGCCCAGGATACATCGTGGAGCCACCCGAAAGCACAATGTGTTTGTAGAATTCAGGTCTGCAACAAGGAACACATCGATGTCTCTAGGTCCTCCTCTGAAGCATTTGCATTTGTGACAGGGCAGCAATGGAGGCAGCTTCTAGTCTCTCTAATTCACCTTTGCCTCATGTTGTCTTCTCCCAGCCAGAGAAAGCGGGGGGAGAGAGAGAAGGGAGGCCTGCAACCAACTGAAAGCTGACTGGAGGAAATGTAGTTTGACTCCTCTCCCTGACAGCGGAAAGTGCCGTCAAGTTGCAGCTGACTTTTGGCAACCCCCTCAGGGTTTTCAAGGCAAGAGACAAACAGAGATGGTTTGCCATGGCCTGCCTCAGTGTTGTGACCCTGGGCTTCCTTGGTGGCCTCCCATCCGAGTACTAAGCAGGGCTGACCCTGCTTAAGTTCTGAGACCTGACAAGATTGGGCTAGGTCAGGGTCCCCCTCTCTGAAGGGAGGGAAAGAGGGAGACGAGAAAGAATGTTTAGGAAGAAAAAGTAGCAGCACCGAAAGGCCGACTTAGCCTTGGCCTCCTGCTCCAAGCACAGGGCTTCCTCTAAGAGGCTGGGAGTTTCAGAAGCTGGCTCAGACTTTCGGTCAGGAACAGGCCTCACCAAGGATGTTGAGGCTGACCTACAGACACGGGGAGAGCATTGGGGAGAGAGAGCCAGCAGACTGCAGTGCTTAGAGTGTCCGATAAGATCTGGGTGACCCCGGTTCAAATCCCTGCTGTTGTCATGGAAGCTTGCTGGGCCAGTCAGACACCTTCGGCCTAACCTACCTCAAAGGGTTGCTGCAAGGATAAAATGGGAGGAGAATGACGTCAGCGGCTTTGGGTCCCCATTGGGGAGAAAGGTGAGGAATAAATGAAGTAAATAAACACCCAAGAAAGACATCCAGGAGTCATGGTGGGCAATTCACTGAAGATGTTGCCTGAGTGTCCGGTGGCAATAAAAAAGGGCTGAGCTCTGTGTTGGGAATTGAAAGCTGCCATAGCGCAAACTGCATCTGGAGTACTGTCAACAGCTGCAGTCACACACCCCACATCACTAAGAATGTTGTACAGCTGGACGCTGTGACACTCTTCCCCCGCAGCAACCAGAATGATCAAAGGGTTTGGAACACCTACCCTAGGAGGAAAGGATAAAGCATTTGAGGCTTTTGAGATTTAAAATAAAAGAGGACTGAGGAGACACAGGGCTTGTAATGGATTGTTCCCCCTCCAGTGTTCCCTCTAAGCTGAGTTAGTGTGAGCTAGCTCACAGTCTTTTAGCCTCTGGCTCACACATTTTTGTCTCAGCTCAGAAAGGATAGCTCCAGAGCAAACTAATGTATGCAGCAGGCAAATCGCTCACTCACAACTTTAATGCCAGTAGCTCACAAAGTAGACTTTTTGCTCACAAGGCTCCACAGCTTAGAGGGAGCCTTGTCCCCCTCATAATATTAGAATTTAGGGTTGCCCGATAAAATTGAATGGTCGTAGTTTCAGGACAGAAAAACAAGCCGACTTCTTCACACGGCACATCATTAAGTTGTGGAATCCACTACAACAAGATGCAGTGGAGGCCTCTAGCTTAGATGGCAGTTTAAAAGGGTCTAAAAATTCACAGAAGCTGGTCTATCAACAGCTATTAGATGTTACACAAATGGAACCTCCATGTACAGAAGCAGTATATATACCTGCGTAATGGAGTCTGAGGACAAATGGCAGGAGAAGGTGACCTCTACCATAGCTTGTTGGCAAGTTTTTTTGTTTTGGTATTTGTGTGTGTGCACCTGGAAGTCATGGCGACCTCTGGTGACTGACCCCTACTGGGAGCCTGGAAGATATTCAGAGAGGTGGCTGAATAAAGCCTGCCCCTACTTCCTGGCTCTGGTATGCCAGATTCGACCCTGCTTAGCTTCTGAGATCGGACGAGATCGGGCTTACCTGGGCTATCCAGGTCAGGGTGCCGGTAAGTATCCAGGGACATCTGATGTCAGAAAGCTAGGCTACAGGCATCATTGTCTGAACCATCAATATTGTGTTTTTATCTTGTGCAGCTTCCCCACCACACCTTTCCAGGTGCCTCTGTTAGCCGCCCTGAGCCTTCGGGGAGGGTGGG